ATATCATGTTGCTTAATTTGTGGATATTGAACCATCCTTTTATCCTTAGAATAAGTCTCATTTGATCATGATGTCCATGATTCTTTTAAAGCATTATTGAATTTGGTTTGCTAATATTTTGTGTAGGGTTTTTATATCAATGTTAATCAAGAATATTGGCCTGTAATTAATTTTTTTTTTTTTTTTTTGGTATTGGTTTTGGTATTAAGGCAATTCTGGCCTCATAGAAAGAGTTTGGAAGCATTAAGTCTTCTTCAATTTTTTGGAATATTTTGAGAAGAACAGACATTAACTCTTCTTCAAAGGTTTTGTAGAATTCACCTATGAAGTCGTTGTCTAGTCCTAGCCTTTTGTTTGCTAGGCGTTTTTGGATTACTGTTTCAATTTCATTACTCACAATTCGTTCACATTTTCTATTTTTTCTTGATGCAGCCTTGGAAGGCTGTATGTTTTAGGAATTTATCCACTTCTTCTAGGTTCTCCTATTTGCTGGCATGTAAATGTTTGTAGTTGTCTCTTATGATCCTTTTTATTTCTGTGGTATTGACTGTAACTTCTCTTTCATTTGATTTTATTTATTTGGGCCCTCTATTTTTCTTGATGAGTCTGGATAAAGTTTTATCAATTTTGTTATCTTTTCAAAGAACCAGGTACCCCCCATTATTTCTCTAAATAGAGTTTCTGTCCCTTTCTCTCTCTCTTCTCCTTCTGGGACCCCTATAATGTGAATGTCCGTATGCTTAATGTCCCAGTGGTCCCTTAAACTACGCTCATTTTTTTTAGAGGCTTCTGGGTGGCTGAGTGGATTGGGCGTTCGACTTCGGCCAGGTCATGATCTCATGGTTTGTGGGTTCGAGGCCCGCATCAGGCCTGTGCTGACAGCTCAGAGCCTGGAGCCTGCTTTGAATTCTGTGTCTCCTTCTCTCTCTGTCCCTTCCCTACTCACACTCTGTCTCTCTCTGTCTCTCAAAAATAAATAAGCATTGGAAAAAAGTTTTTTTAATAAATTAAATTATTAAATTAAAATTAAATTAAATTAAAATTAAGTTAAATTATTAAATAAAAATTTTTAATAAATAAACTATGTTCATTTTTTTTAAATTCTTTTTTCTTTTTGCTGTTCTGATGGGGAGATTTACACTACCTGTCTTCCAGATTGCTGATCTGTTCTTCTGCATCATCTAATCTGCTGATTCCCTCTAGTGTATTTCTCATTTCAGTTATTTTATCCTTCAGCTGATGGGTTCTTTTTGTATTTTCTATCTCCTTATTGAAGTTTTCACTGTGTTCATCCATTCTTCTCCTGAATTTGGAGAACATTACTTTAAATTCTCTATCAAGCAGATTGCTTATCTGTTTTGTTTAGTTCTTTTTCTGAAGTTTTGTCTTGTTCTTTCATTTGGAATATATTCTTCTGTCTCCTCATTTTGCCTAAGTCTCTGTTTGCTTCTATGTATTAGGCAGATCAGTTACATCTCCTGATCTTGAAGGAGTGGTTTTATGCAGAAGGTGTCCTGTGGGCCCAGTAGCGCAAACACCCTCGTCACCCCGGTCAGGTGCCCCAAGAGCATTCCCTGTGTGGGCTGTGTGCACCTTCCTGTTGTGGCCAGGTTGCAACTGGTGCAAACTCACAGGTGTATGGGGCTATCCTCCAGCATGACTGTCTGTGAGTTCTGGCTGTGACTGCTATGGTCATACTGGTTAGTGGGGCTAGCCCCTGGCCCATCTGGCTGAGAGGCCTGATTGTGACCGTTGTGAATATGCTGGTGTGTGGGGTTGGTCCCTGGCATGGCTGGCTGTGAGGCCTGGCAATGACAGTTGTGAGTGCACTGGTGGGTGGGGCATGTCTCCTGCCTGGCTTGCTGCAGGGTCCAGCTGTGACTGCTGTAGGTGTTCTAGCGTGTGGGGATGACCTCCTTGGGCAGAGGTGCCGAGGAGGGGTTCTGGTCCCAGCTGGGGTTGCCTACTGCAAGTGCTGGGGTTGGAGGCTGCTTGGCAGGAGCTCTAATGTGAGCTAAAGTACCTGCCAGGAATGCCAGGGTGCAGAAACACTTGAGAAGGTCTTTAGGCTGGGAGGTGGCTTGGGTGGGACAAGTCTTCAGGGGAGCACTGGGGTGGGGTGAGTGGCACTAGCATAGTAAAGAGTGCCAGAACTGATATCCACTAATGCTGGGCCAACTAGGTAGAAGGAGTAAGAAAAATGGTACCCATCAGTGCATCTGTCCCTGGAGGACATTCCCACAGATACCTGCCATTCTGGCACATCCCCTAAAATTAGTGAATTTCCTTCACATGTAACCCAGGGATTTTTCACATGGTTGCCTCTGTGTTGGCACTCAGAGCAGGTGTGATTGTGCACATGCCATCAAAGAGCAGTGTGTCAGTTTCCTACTGCCCTCTGACTCTCTTGGACATATGCCCTGTTGGTTTTCAAAGCCAGATGTTAGGGGAGCTTGTCTTCCTGGTGCAGGTCCCCTGGCATATGGAGATTCATGTGGGACTCAGGCCTCTTCTTCCTCAGGGCAGGTCTCTCTGGTTGTAATATCCCTCCCACTTGTGGGTTGCTGCACTGGGGATGTGGAACCTGACTAAATAAACCATGTCTCTGCTCCTCCTACCTGGCACCTTAATGTGTCTTTTTCTTTATATCCTTAGTTGTATGTTCTGTTGTTAGTCTTTAGTTCATTCTCAGAGACCATTTTCTACGCGTAGTTGTAGAATTTTTTTTGTACAATCTTTACTCCCCACCCAAGGGGTAGGTGCACTGTTCCTTAAGGTACTCCAATACCAGGTCAATGCGTGAAGTGGATGGAGCAAGCTCCTATTCCATCTCCTAGTTCCAAAAAATCCATTTAATATACTGCATTGTCCTCACATTGAGGGTGTAGCAGATATTAAACTGTTAAGGACAGCTGCTACACTTGATCTTAGCCAAAAGGCCGAGAAGTGATGTAGTTGTAGATTTGGATGTGTGTGTGGGAGGAGGTAAGCTCAAGATGTTCCTACTCTGTGATTTTTTTCATCTGGAATTCATTTTTCCTAATGTTGCGAGGCTTGGGTCTAACTTAAAAATTTTTCCAGGTGGATAATCTGATTTTCCTAACACAAATGTAAATGGTGGAAATACAAACTAGTTCACAACTTCTATAGGAGGTGATCTGGCAGCACGAGTCAAAACTACAAATTCACAAACCATTTGATCAGCAATTTTACTTCTACGACTCATCTATGTATATCCTTGCATGTATGCAAAATGATACATATATAAAGTTATCCATGAAGTGAGTAGCTGTAAAACAAGATTAGAAATAATTTTAAAGTCCACCAAGAGGAAATTTACTAAATGAATCATTGTGTAAGCATGCAACTGAAACTATATACCTGCTTTAAAGAAATTAGGAACTATCAAATTGGTAAAGAAGAAACAGCAAAGTGCAGAATAATGTATAAAGGTGGTATCATATGTGTCAAGAAAGGATAAAACAAAGAATATATATATCTTACTGGATGGACATAAATTATCTCTGGAAGGATACATAAAAAACTGGAAACACTGATTACTTTCAAAGATAGAACTAGATAGCTCAAGGACAAATGGTGAGGATATTTTTCACTATATACTCCTTTGTAGCATATGCTTATTCTAAAAAGATTAAGGCCCAATTTAGGTTATCACCTCTAAAACCAAAATAATGGGAGTTTATTAAAAGAAAAAATATTTTAAATATAAATAACCTGGGTACTGGGTTTACAGGTATTTGTTATGCTATTAGTATTTTTCAGTTAAAAAAAATAATTGAATATTCATAAGGTACTAACAAGCGGCAGAATTATGGGTATTTAAATTTTTCTTTTCAATATTTTCTATTTTTCCTATAATGAACAGAAACTATCTCTGTAATAAGAAAACAAGATTTGGGGCACCTGGATGGCTCAGTCGGTTGAGCATCCGACTTCGGCTCAGGTCATGATCTCACAGTTCGTGGGTTTGAGCCCCGCATCAGGCTCTGTGCTGACTGCTTGCTCAGAGCCTGGAGCCCACTTCAGATTCTGTGTCTCCTTCTCTCTCTGCCCCTCCCCTGCTCACGCTTTGTCTCACTCTGTTTCTCAAAAATAAATAAATGTAAAAAAATAAAAAAAAAATAAGATTTATATTGTATGTTTGTTTTGAGAAAATAAGGTTTTTAAATATAAAAACCACTGTGTGGCAATAATGAATGTTCAATGCTTTCTACAGAACATATAAGATGTTAACTATTAGGATAAAAATAGAAAGAGCTACAGACTGGAGAATTTAAAAACAATATTGGTAAAAAAAAAAAAATGGAAGAATCTTCCCCTATTACTATCTCCCAGTTCATGTGACCCTCATACAAACAGCTTTGATCGAGTGACTGTTTCCAGATAATTCTTGGAAATTATTCAAGTGTAAGTTAATTGAAGTTATTTTAAGGGGATACAATGAAGTTCTGCAGTCAGATGCTCTACCCCTGAGCTATACCCCCTAAAATGAAGTTCTGAAGACATATCAGTTCACATTAACATTTATCAGTTCTCAACAGAGATTGCTTTTTAAGAGTAGACAATGCCATCAGTTAAACACATGGGATGTGTTAGGAGGGTCAAGTTGCAAAAGTCTGCGAATCATTCTTGTCATCAAGCCTGCATTTATTTGCATGGGTGAAAAGATGAAATTTCTCAAAATAATATTCCAGTAAATAAGGTGAACTAAGTTTTCATGGTGATATATCAACTATTTAGGCAATTGATAATCATGATCAAGTTTTCTGACATTGTTTTGCTTTGTTTTAAAGAGAAAGAGGATGGTGGGGAGAGAGAATCATAAGCAGACTCCATGCTGACTATGAAGCCTGACATGGGGCTTGATCTCATGCCTCTGGGATTATGACCTGATCCAAAGTCAAGAGTCAGATGCTCGCCTGACTGAGCCACCCAAGCACCCCTCTTATGTTCTTATGCCAAGTAATGTGCAAAAATACCTTTTCTTGAGAGGAACTTGCAGGTGCTCAAAGTACAAGTGGCCCAGGGAGTTTATGCTCATCACAACCTCTTCTTCAGACACTAAATCTACCTTAAATGGGTTTGCTGTGATATGACACTTCAGATCTCCTTTTCCATCAGCCAATACCAGACTACCTGCATCCCCTGAGGATGAAATCAGCCTAGAAAACAAAGCAAGAAGAGAGAAATAGGTTTACATAGCTCAATGTGATTCTCAATTCAAATTAATGTGCAAATCCATATTCATGGGACATAGGGGTTTGGTGTCAGAAAGCCTAGACTGAATATAGCTCTATCATGCACTAGGAGTATAACTTTGGACAAGTTAGTCAGTCTATCCAGTTCTTAGTTTCCTCATCTGTAAAGTAGAAATAATAAAAGCAAGAACAAATAGAGCTTTTGGGGAGAACTGAGTGGGATGATGCATGCAAAGTACTTAAGTACTTGGCAGTGCCTGGCAAATAATAATATGTTAGCTATCATCATCATTTCCTTGGGCTGGACAGTCTAGGAACACTTTGGTGCACAGAGTCTAAACACTGCTTTTCTTTTTCATTACAACCAAATACTCAAAAACTAAGGAAATAACATAGATTGGGTTATTGACGGGGTGGGTTCATGGTGAGATGCAATCTCTCCTGACTCCCATCAGCTCTGATTTGAGAGCTAGACTGTTAGGATATTCCGGATCTCCAGAAATCATGTAAGCCCAGAGGCAGTCACTTAAAATCCTTCAGAGGTCTAGATATTTCTTTCTCTGGTGCACAGTCACTCTGGTAAATGGTCACATGCCTCCTTAGGGAAGGTGAGGAGGGATATTTTATGTTCTTATTATATTCTTGCGAAGTCCTTCTCCCTGGATTCTAGGCAAGATACTTGGGTTCTGTTAACTGTCTGGAGTAGTAGGAGAGTTGTATATCACTGTTCATCAAACCCAAATGCAGGGGCCCCTGGGTGGCTCAGTCGGTTGAGCATCTGACTCTTGATCTCGGCTCAGGTCATGATCTCATGGTTCGTGGGTTCGAGCCCTGTGTCAGGCTCTATGCTGGCAGTGCAGAGCCTGCTTGGGGTTCTGTCTCTCCCTCTGTCTGCCCCTTCCCCACTTGTACTCCCTTTCACTCTAAATAAATAAATAGCAAAATGGAATTCTTTTGATTGTTCCATCAAATAGGACTTTAATGCATCTATTTCAGTCCAGTGGACCCTTTGATACATTGTTCACTGCCCTGAGAGTTAAACATTTTGGGTACCATACATGCCCTGCTGCGCATTATGGAAACATGTTCACCTTGTCACTAATAACTAAATGCTGCTACTTTCATTATGCACCTGGAGTCTCACCATCTCCACTGAAATCGGGGAGCCCATTTTGATGGCATCATTTCCCACCATTATTTCTAGCTCTTAAAAGACATTCACTCACTAAAATGCTTTCCAAGTGTTCCTTCATCAAGTTATTTCTCAGCGAAAGGAGTCTCTTTGGAACCCCTTGGAGAGCAAAATTAGGGGCTAGTTGTGCTGTTGCATATGACATATCCACTTCAACATCTTTATTTCCCTAAGTCTATGGATCATCTTTTCTACTCTGTGCCAAGGCTGAGCTGGTATCTCAGCTTCATTCAGCAGAGTCCATAGCTGAGTACAGATTATAATTAACCAACCAAGCAAATAATTAGACTCACTCCCAGCTGTCCAAGCTAGCACATCAAATTTAGATTCTTCGGTACCCATGTCAATAAATTTAATGTGGTCCTAAAATTATGTTCCTTTCTTTAGGAATCCCTCAGAATGCATTTCTATCTGTATTTCCTAGGTTTTTGCCTATATAAAATCTTATAATTCCTTAGGTGTAGTGTTTGACTGTAATTAGCTCCCTAGGCATGTTGGGCTCTGGTAGTGAGCTTAAAGGAAGGCAGTGAAGGGGTGAGGCACAATGAGCACTGTCATCCCCTTGGACAATATATCTTAGGTGAGGTCAACACAGGGTGTCCAAGCAAGGTAGGATCAGCTTTGTTAGAGGAAAAGGAGCTACTTCTGCTGGAATGGAAGGCTTGGTGGAATTCTGTTGATCACAGGTAGTAATTTAAGTAACTTTGCCATGGAATGCTGTGGTTTATTACCAGTTGTGTAGTTTGCTAGGTCTGCCACAACAAATACCCCATTGGGTGGCTTAAAGTACAGAAGTTTATTTTCTCACAATTTTGGTGGCTAGAAGTCCAAGATCAAAGTGTCAGCAAGTTTGGTTTCTTCTGAGACCTCTCTCCTTGGCTCTCAGATGGCCATCTTCTTGCTGTATCCTTACATAGTCAGCCCTCTGTCTGTGTCAACTTGTGTCCTAATCTCCTCTCCTTATGGAACACTATTCATATTGTATTACAGTCCACCCTAACAACCCCATTTTAACTAGTTACCTCTTCAAAGGTTCTACCTCTAAATATAGTCATTTTCTGAGGCACAGGGGGTTGTGGCTTCAACATATGAGGTTTTTTTTTGGGGGGGGGGACACAATTGAGCCCATAACACTAGTATCTTATCCTCTAATGATAACCAAGTCCTCGCTGCTTTCAAATCCAGCCAAAGCAGCTAACCAATCTCATATTCCCATCCTAGAGGGTCTGTTGCCTATACTTACTTCTGATACCAAAGGCTACATCAACCAAGATTCAACTGTACATTAAAGAAAAAATTCTGGGGGTGCCTGGGTGGGTCAGTCGGTTAAGTGTCTGACTTCAGCTCACGTCATGATCTCGTGGATTGAGGGTTCAAGTCCAGCTGTGTTGGCAGCTCAGAGCCTGGAGCCTGCTAAGGATTCTGTGTCTCCTCTCTCTCTGCCCCTCCCCTGCTCATGCTCTGTCTCTCTCTCTATCTCTCTAAAAAATAAATAAACATTAAAAAAGCAAAGAAAAAATTCTGGCTATTTTAAGTGGAAAATGAGTAACTTAAGATGGGGGAATTGGGAGCTTATGACATCATTGGAAGCACTGAGGTAATAGGTTGGGCAGCCGGTAATGATCCCTAGAATACTACTGCATGGTCAGTTGAACTCCTATTGCAGCTAGAATCAGGAAGTTGGATAATCAGAAGTCACTGTGGCAACTGCTGGGCTCCAAGATCATGCCATATTAGCTCCAGAGATGAATAAACTACTACCCTAACTAGTGTGCCTCTAGAGACATTCTAGAGCTCCCAAATCCATGCCAGCAAAATTGGAAACTCAGTTCTAAAATCAAGATACCTGTAAGTGCATCTGACTGGTAGAACCTGAATTATACCAGAAACTAGTTACATGAGAGTATGGGAAGTGGAGGAATGTATTTTTTAACTTTCTTGTTACTGCAGTAGCCAAAGGCCCTCTAGAAAGAGGTTGGAATGGAAGCAGAACTAATACAACATATTTACCACACAAAGCTAGTTATCATCCTGACCCCAAAACATGGCAATAATACAGAAAAAGAAAACTACAGACGAATTTTACTTAACACAGATGTAAAAATGTTAAAAGGATCTACCAGTAAAGTGAATCCTCCAGGATAGTAAAAAATAATATACTGTAACCAAGTACACACACACACACACACACACACACACACACACACGCATGTGCACCAACCTAAGAAGCCTTGAGAGTCTTTTTAAAAAAATTTTTTTAATGTTTATTTTTGAGAGAGACAGACAGAGCGCGAGTTGGAGAGGGGCAAAGAGAGAATGAGACACAGAATCCAAAGCAGGTTCCCAGCTCTGAGCGCTCAGCAGAACCTGACGCAGGGCTCGAACTCACGAACCTGTGAGATCATGATCTGAGCCGAAGTCGGATGCTTACCCGACTGAGTCACCCAAGCGCCCCGAAAACAGTCTCTTTTTAATTCCAGTTTTCTAAGTTCTCGGCATATAGGAGCAGCTGAGTGACTAGACCTATTTTGAATTTATGATGATTCTACTATCACTGAAGTACTTTCCCCTTATAATCTACTGACTTGATTAAATTTTTATGGAAAAAGTAATCTACATAAAACTACGATAATGATATAGTGAAAATTAAAGCATTTGGCATAAACTTATATTCCTTCAGTGAAATAATATGAAAAAATAACAGGAATCAGCAGGCAGAACCAGTGAGATATCACTGGAAAGAGTATTGAGAACTGAGGAAGATACTGCAGATGTAGGAAAAATGCTTTTTGATCTCCAAAGTTTTTGTTTCACTTAGACACTGATGATTAATTTATCTTTGACATGTTACATTTCTGAGACTACCTTAATTAAAAGTGAGCCTAATTGTATAAATTGTGGTAAGCACGGGAGTTTGGCTAGTATATGAGATCTCTGGAGCCCTGCTGCTAATCTGAGTAAATTAAATAGCTCTCCTACTTGTTCTCAAATTCTACTTGTTCCCAAAGTCTGGTTGATGAATCATTTCCTTTGCAAGAAGGACAGCAGGGCTCAAAAGCTCTGCTTCTGCTCATGAATAAGTGCTGATAAATTAAATGGTGGAGAATGGACAATATATAAAAAGCATAAATGTATCCCCAAATAACTGAAAACTGACTCTGCAAATGATTATAGCTTCGAATAGAAAAAACAGGAGGAACATGCAAAATCTGCTACTCAAGGTATAATAAAAGACCATACTGAGGGTGTATCCAAGATCTCTTGTTCCTTGGCTTACCTTACGGTGCGTGGCTTGCTTGTGACAATATCAGGAACTTCATACCTGGGTTTCAGGGGAGTTTCTTCATTGATTTTAAGCCTGAAAATATTTCCCTCTATACCATAAACTTCAGCCAGAAGAGGAACCTTGGAACAGACACGAGATTAGTTTTAACAGGTTATTACACCAGTGATGGCCAGTTCTTGAGTCAAATTACAATAATTAGAAACTACGTTTGAATTATTATAGGCCAAGTAAACTGGAGACAATGGGAATCATGAAGGAAATAGCTCCCCAATCTTTGTATTTACTTGTTTGGCTATACTTGTGGTACAGCAAGAAAGACATTATATGTGTTCTTAAAAAAATTTTTTTTTACATTTATTTATTTTTGAGAGACAGAGAGAGAAAGAGCACAAGTGGGGGAGGGGCAGAGAGAGACTGAGACACAGAATCCGAAGCAGGCTCCAGGCTCAGAGCTGTCAGCACAGAGCCCGTCGTGGGACTCGAACTCACGAAACCGTGAGATCATGACCTGAGCTGAAGTTGGATGCTTAACTGACTGAGCCACCCAGATGCCCTTCATTCTATGTGTTCGATGGCAAGGTAAACCTGTAATTGTCCAGACCAGGACCTTTAAAAATGAGAGATCTCTATTAATAATTATACTGAATGATAGGCATGAGCTGAAACTGTTTTTGGAAAACTGGGACATGCGGCCACTTTATCTATGATAAACTGCAGGTGTCTTAGAGTAAGGGTTTGGTATTAAAACTAGGGCAACTGGATTCCAGCTGAATAAAAGATGAAGGATAACCAACCACAGAATGGAAAGGAATAGAGAATAAAATAATGGTCATTGGGGTTCCTTAGGATAGATGCCTGAGGCTTGCTGCTTGATTTTAATCAAGGCACTTCCTGTACACCTGGGAATAGGGCCTGGGGAATTTTCTCTAGAGGTTGGGATGTTCTCAGCTTTCTTAAGAGGCAGGGGAAGTTAAGTAAAATTTTGCCCATAGTGTGACATGGAAGCAACATAGAATTATTTAGACTACAATATTTGAGAAATAAAACACAAAACAACAACGAACCCCAAGAAAATAGAAATGGCCAGATTTAGGTTACAAAATGAAGCGTGTAGATCAGAGAAATATGTATTTTTTAATATGAAGTCATCTTTATTATAATTTAGAAGTCCATTAGAAACAGACATTGATCTTTAATAAAAAAAACTTCTAGGATCTCATGGGCTTCTGTTTCCCATTTAGTTATGTAGTTTAAAAATCCAGTTTACTTGAGAATGGTGGAAAAGGCCAAGTAGTATCTTAGTTTTTGTTATGACAAGTTTTCTTCTCATAGGCATTCTGGAGTCTTTGGGAATTTTAATGGACCTGCCCATTTCCAATGCCTTCTGTGATTCCTTAGAAATTTCAATGGGCACCTGTCCTACAGAACATTCTATTATTCTACTGATTCTCAAGGTATGGGTCTAGGGCTATGCCTGAGAATTTGCTTTTCTAACCTATTGTTCCCCTTTGATTTATTCTAAATGGCAGTTTTTAAAATGGGTCAAATTGTGCCCAAGCTTCCAAACTTGCATGCTTATCTTACAAAAATAGCACTTATCATTCACTTTACCAACAGTTCCCGCCAAATAAAGTTCCCCAAAGCATAAAGTATCAACTGCCAATGTTAGGTGAAGCCCCTCCTCTTTCCCCAGATCATATTATTTGGAATCCTGAGTGAGAGCAAGCGACTCCAACACAGAGCCACAATCTTTCCCAAAAAGCTTGATCAGAGAAATATTTTGACAGTTTTCAATTGCTGTGCCATGCCGCAGTGGTTGATAGCAAATCCTTCATTAAATCCTTCATGTGATGCCAGATTCTGGTTACAACTGGGTACATGTACTGTTACTGTAACATCTGTTAAATCAAAGGCTAAGGAGGGCAGGCTGTGTGACATAGTGTAGAACAGGGTCAATGTGGTACAAGTAAAATAGGAAGCAGGGAGAACATCACAGCATTAAAATAATGATATTATTGGAACTTTGCCTCTTTGGGAATGTAGAAAAGTAGTCAGGGCACTTATGTAGTGACCCGACACTTAAAAGAGTGACCACATAAATAGTGCAGTGGCTCGGGCTCCTTTTACAGATAATTCTTAAAGTAGGGTTATAGTAGGGGTGCCTGGGTGGCTCAGTCAGTTGATCGTCTGACTTCAGCTCAGGTCATGATCTCACGGTCCATGAGTCTGAGCCCCATGTTGGGCTCTGTGCTGACAGCTTGGAGCCTGGAGCCTGCTTCGGATTCTATGTCTCCCTCTCTCTCTGCCCCTCCCTGCTCGTGCGCTCTTTGTTGCTCAAAAATGAATGTCATAAAAATTTTTAAAAAATAAAGTAGGATTATAGTAGAGTAGCAGTGTAATTATTTTTTCTAGCTTTATTGAAATAAAATTGACATAATGTACAAATTTAAGGTGTACATCATATTGATTTGATACTTATATATTGCAAAATGATTACCACCATAGCATTAGCTAACAACTGCATCATATCACATAATTACCATTTCCTTTTTGTGATGAGAACATTTAAGTTCTACTCTCTGAGCAACATTCAAGTATATAACAGAGTATTATCAGTTATAGTCACTATGCTGTACAATAGAATCCTTAGATCTTACTCATTTTGTTTAGCTGGAAGTTTATACTCTTTGACCAACATTGCCCTTCCCCTGCCTCAATCATACTGTAATTATTCATTGTATGTTTAACATTCTTTTGTAAATTTAATTACTTCAAGTGTGCCATCAGAATTCCAAGATTTAAAAATGTGTCCAAATACAAATAAAGCTGAAATTCTGTTAGATTATGTATTGTCTCCGAAGCGAGACATACATTTCCATTGTTCTCTCAAATTTAACATTTATTTGGCATCTAATATTGTGATGTGCTGTGAAAAAGATGACTAAACTCTTAGAGGAAGACTGCAATTTACAGATAAAACACATAGTAAACATAAAGCATTTTATAGGTGCTGAGATGGAAGGACAAGGACAGTGCTGTGGGAGAACAAGGAGAGAGAATATTAGTGATGACTGTAAGGAAAGGGGTCCTGGGCTGTCTCTGGGGGAGCGGGACCTTCAGAGATTAGCTGGTCTCTGGGTAGGCAGAATGAGCAAGCACATCCTAAGCAGAGGGCACACAGGTTGCCTACATATGATGAACAAATTGCACCTAGTTTATGCACTCAGAGATCTTCCCAGTTATAGTGAAATAACTGTCTTTAAAAACAATTTTTTTTTTAAGCCAAAGACTGGTCTGTATGTTCTGTTCTTGAGGCTGCAGCTCAGAAAGAATCCTAATTATATGAGGAGGCAGATAATAACCCTGCTTTTATTCTAATGACCTTATACAACCAAACATATGAATCAGAGTCAAAGCTCCATTTTGTTTCATTTTAGCTCAATTAAGCAAGTGGTTTTTTCCACTAGGTAATCCTTTTCAAGGTATTCAGATTCATTCAGACCTCCTACTATTACCACCATAACTCTCATGGTCCAAGCATATAATCTCCTTAGACATTAGTATGCTTTGCTTCTATGATCTGGATCATGCTGTTTTTATTGACTTAAAAAAATTTTTTTAATAGCAGCAGATTTTTAATAGTGCAATAAATAAAGCTACTTGGGTTAAAGACAGTGGGGAGACTCAGTGCCCCTGCCTTTGAGCCCCTCCCTGAACTGAACTTTGAGACAACTCCATGGAAACCTGGGCTCTGTGGTTGACAGTTTAAAAACCACTTCTCGGGGCGCCTGGGTGGCGCATTCGGTTAAGCGTCCGACTTCAGCCAGGTCACGATCTCGCGGTCCGTGAGTTCGAGCCCCGCATCGGGCTCTGGGCTGATGGCTCAGAGCCTGGAGCCTGTTTCCGATTCTGTGTCTCCCTCTCTCTCTCTGCCCCTCCCCCGTTCATGCTCTGTCTCTCTCTGTCCCAAAAATAAATAAACGTTGAAAAAAAAAATTAAAAAAAAAAAAAAAAAAAGAAAAACCACTTCTCTGGGTTTCTCAATTGCCAGTTATTTTTCAGTTCTCCCACCAAAACCTTGCTGTGTCAAAAAGTGGGGACATGAATGTTATGTTCTTCTATCTAATACATTAAGAATTTGTATACATTCCTCTCTTCTTCTGCTTGGACATTGGTGAAAAAGTAATACACAAATAATTATTGAATCTCTTCTTCCTATTAGGATTGGAAATTACAATGAAAAAGTATGTTAACTTACAGAAGCTAGATTGCTTAAACTAGGAGTGCGTGTTAATACTCAGAATACACTAACAGTTACACTCAAATTGCAGCAAGATGGATTACTGCAAAATAGGTGAAGAAATATATAATTAAGCATTTTAAATAATGAGACAGCATGGATTTTGCTCCTTAAAAGTAGTTAAGATGTGCAAATGTCCACCTACACAGAGAACATGAGATAAATCCTGAGAGAAAGGAGTACATTTAGAGGTTCCTTTTAGCACTACAAGCTTCTGTTTGGTTTTTCATAAACCTTTATTCAGAGACTCACTTCTCATAGTCTGGGAAAGAGTACAAATCCTCTTTTCCTATCCTATTTATTCTATGCTTAGTAAAAACAAAACCTGCTAGTCTGTCATCCATAAGTCTAGTTTTATGTAGTTGTTTTTGTTTTGTTTTGTTTGGCCACATAGATAAAAATACCACCAGGTTGTAAAAACTATGGTGCTAGGAATAGCCCTGTCTTTGTACTCAAGTAGTGGACTGATCACAATTATATTAAGACAAAACCTGTTATTTACCCACAACTGGGAATCACAGCTAGTAGAGATTGTGACTGAGTTAACAGAACAGCACAACCTGCTAGTAAAGGAAACTAAACATGTTGCCATAGAACACATATTTAAATGGCAGTGGGTATTAGGAATGGAAATTATGACTCCATCAACTTCTTCTTGATGGATATAGATCTTGCCTCTCCTCTGGTACCAGGTGTCTTCTCTATACTCTAAAGAACAGTTAATCTAAAAGGCCTACGAGAGTGAACAACAACCTCTCCCAGTTGTTGATCAAGACCTCCCAGAATTCAGGGTACTGGGGTGGCTCAGTTGTTAAGCATCTGACTTCGGCTCAGGACATGATCTCACGGTTCGTGAGAGCGAGTACCACATCGGGTGAGCTCGAACCCCACTTCAGGTGAGCCCCACTCCTCTCTTTCTCTGAAAAAAATAAAAAAAAAAAAAAAGACCTCCAGCATCCAGAGGATTGTCTAAGAGTTCATTAAAGTGCTGTATGACACTAACTGCTCCTTCCACTGTTGCAGCCAGTTGGTTTATTATTCCCAAATTAGCTGCCTGTTCACGCCCACTTCTGCAGAAACAGTACTGGCTAACAAGTTGTAGTTCTTCCTCATCTGCTGAGGATGTGGCTGGCTGGGTGAAATCCCATTTTCATCCGGCTTAGATGCAAAGGCAAGGGGTAACTTCATGGAGGTGCTCAGAGATATGCCTGCATCCTTGGAGATGCTGCTAGAAGTGTAGTCTCTAGTGAAAACTTGTCAACAGGCTGTAAAGTAAACATGTTGCCAAAAAGTCATCTATGTCATAAGAAAGCATAAAAATTGGCAATATAAAGTAGGTCAAAGGCATAGGTCTATTCCAGGTTAGCCTTGCTAGCAGTGCTTTTTAGCTAGACTTGGAGGACAGAATACATTTCTCTGCTCTGAAGTCACAAGACTAAATCTTCTGTTTCTCAATCTAGGTCAAATTTTCACTGAAGGTAAAAAATCGGTAACAGAAAAAAACAGCTCCAAAAAAGCAGTCAACATTTTACCGTTAACCTTCCTTCAAGATTTTCTTCTGGAAGCCTTTTTATCAAATATCTACCTGATTATTTTGTTCTCAGGAATAGGCAAGATACTATACTGGGGCCCTATGTGAGAGAACTCATGCGTTTTAAACTACAACTGCCTTTTCTTCAAATCCTAGATGTCTTGACCCAGCGGCAACACACAGGGAAACACTTCAGCTTGTTCTGTAATATTACTGTTTCAGGAACATCATGTTTGCTGTGAACTGAATTGTGTACTCCTCCATGTTCACTTCATATTTTGAAGCACTAACTCTCAATATGATGGTATGTGGAGATGGGGCCTCTGGGAGGTAAACAGGTTTAGATAAGGTCATGAGAGTGGGGTTATGATGGGATTAGTGTCCTTACAAGAAGAAACCAGAGAATTAGCTCTCTCTCTGCTATGTGAAAATACAGTAAGAAGGTGGTAGTCTATAAGCCAGGAAGAGGATGCCCACAGACACCTTGATCTTGGATTTCCCAGACTCTAGAACTCTGGCAAAGAAATATCTGTTGTCTAAGACCCCCAGTTTATGGTATTTTGTTATGGCAGTCCAAGCTAAGAAAATGCTGAATGAAGCTCGGTTCTGTTTTCTGGTTGCTTATTAAGGGGTAGATTGGGGGAAGGAGATCGAGAAGAAGGATTTCAAAAATTAACAGTAGACCTTGACAGCAAAGTTACTGCTTTAAGAGTTTTAAGGGTGTGGGAGCAGGCCAACACTAAGAATCTGCTTCATCAGTGAAATCTGAGAACTGCAGCTGTGAGCTGAATATGATCTCTTAGACTCTGGGCTCTGTTTCTGTGAACTTGAAGTAAAAAGCTATCATTCTGAATAGGTAGATATGTGCAGCTTGTTTTAAATCTCCAGACCACACCCATACCATATCCTAACGTGAAATCTCCCATGAAACGCCCATCTTATCCCAGAAACGACCTCTAAAGCAGGCTGCTTGAATATACAGCAAGCTGGATACAAGGTTCAGACAACTTTGGAGATTACTGTCTGGATCTTCGTTGCCCATATCAGACTGACAGAGGACACGAAACCTTAAGTCCCTATTCGTCATCTCAACTCCAAGTGACAAGGAAAACATTAAATTGGAATTCAGCCCAGAATTTCAGGGTGACCTCCTAAACATATACATGTATTTGCTTGAGATCAGATCATGCAGATTCTCTATGCAGCCCCAATATTTCTTTTTAAAAAATGTTTATTTTTGAGATAGTACAAGTGGGGGAGGGACACCGAGGGGGGGGTTTAGAGGATCCTAAATGGGCTCTACCATGAGAGAACCTGATGGGGGCTCAAACTGACAAACCGTGAGATCATGACCTGAGCCAAAGTTGGATGCTCAATCGACTGAGCCCCAAAAGCCCAACAGCTGCGCCCCACAGCCCCAATATTTCTAATACCTGAACATGAAGTCTCTTCCAAGGGGGCCACAGAGTTTTCAGTCCTGGGAGCTATGTTGCTGATATCCTGGGTAACCTACCCTTGCTTGTTAGGGCTTCTCAACTCCCTTCTGAGCCATGTGCTGTCTGTGTTAAGATCTTGTGGGTCCTCCTGGACTGTGGCTTCTTTTTTTTGGAAGGCATCCAGATCTGGTGGGCTCTGGTTCTGACACAAGACCTGAACAGCATTGTCTTGCACGTTTTCAGGCTCCAAAGAGGGATGTGTGAAGAAAGCTGATCTATAGTTTTGTAAAAGGCTGCATGTGGGGATCTACCACTAACTGCATTGGTATCAAGATGCATGAACACTTGTATTTTGGTCCACAGGATGCTTCTGCCTCATTTACTTTGTTTCACCATGAATCTTCATGACAGTGGATGTTCAGATGCTCAATACACTGAAGTTCTCCAAGGATGGGAAGAGATTCTTGCCTGACTATGGGATAGCTACAACTCTCTGGGTTTAGATACATTAGAGATAGGAAGATGAGCAAATGACAAAAAAAAAAAAAAAAAAAAAAAAAAGAATGGAAGGTACCTGACATCTGGTGGCAGGCTTAATGACTCCTACAAGGTTTCTAGCGGACTCCTTGCATTTCCCAGAGCCAACTGCTTCTGCTGACCCTGAATACAGAGGTTTGGCTGGGTCTCAGGCTGTTAGACCACATGCAAATGGCAGGTGACTCTTCAGGAAGGAAATCAGTGCTGCCTCATATCTTCCCATGAATGGCTATCAAAGTATGCTAAAAAAAGATAATTAGTAAAGACTTGGATCAGTTTGTAGAGGACTTTGGGGGTACCATGAGCTGAGAACTCAAAGGTATCAGAAATGCCAAGCAAGGGGCCAATTCCTCCAGAAAAAAAGAGGTAGTATAAAAGCAGCATTAGGGGGGGCACCTGGGTGGCTCAGTCTGTAAAGTGTCCGACTTTGGCTCAGGTCATGATCTCAAGGTTCGTGAGTTCAAGCCCTGAGTTGGGCTCTGTGCTGACAGCTTGGAGGCTGGAGCCTGCTTCGGATTCTGTGTCTACCTCTCTCTCTGCCCCTCCCCCAATCATGCTCTGTCTCTCTCTCTCAAAAATAAACAAACATTAAAAATTAAAAAAAAAACAAAACATAAAAGCAGCATTAGGTTTCAGAAAAAGGTTAAACCATCCCATTTGTGTAGTTAAGAGAGATGAACTAAGTGTACCGCTATCACAGTAGCTAGAAATTGGAAACAGGAGAGGGACAGAGAACACAGAACTGTTCATACAATTCTAGCCATTATTTTGAATTCAGGCAAGAAAAGTATGTTAGAAAATTCCACATCTATGAAACAGCTGCATTTCCTAAAACTTCATAAAGAGAGTAGCTGACCTCACCGTGCAATAGATCCTCATGTGCGGGAATAAAGCTGGAATCCTTTGCTAAATTAAAGGCCTAACAAATGTTATAGAGAACCCCCTGATGTTGTGGAGCAAGCTTTTCTTCTGCCTTCTCTGAGGAGGTTCCCTTGTGCAGCACCACAGGGCGAGAGCTACGGTCGCCACAGGGAGATATCTCACAGCTTTGCAGTGAAAGGAGAAATTCCTTCTCAGTCATCTGTTAGGGAACTTACACTTCAAGGCTTCAAGTATGTCTTTCAGCTATAAGAATTACCAAGAAGCCAGATTGGTCTGGGAGGCCTTAGAAGCTTCGGATGCCTTTAGAAGACAGGGAGGATCTGGAAGTGTGGGTCAGGCTGGTAGCGCTGTACTTGCGCATAGCCATACTTCCTACCTCAGCCCATACAGGACTTCCTCTATGGCTGGCCCATCTGAAGTAGCGGTATGATTCGACAAGTGAGAAAAAGTACTTAAAATACTGCTCTAATCCTTTCAGTATATAATAGCTAGGGTGATCTGCTAGTGAAGCAGCTCAGGAGATGGAACACTTGTGACTTAGGTTTTCAACTCCATAGTCCCTTGTTCCTCTGGTCCACCCACATTTTGAGGTTTGGACAGTCACTCAATCTGTACCTTCCTCAGGCCACACGCTCAACTGTACAGGGTATAACAGTAATAGAACATGGATGCTTAACAGAGTTGATAGACACAGGTGAAAACACTGATTACTAGCTATGTGACTTAGAACAAGTGACTTCCTAGTCACTTTTCTGTATTTATGAAGACTAATTAAAAGGAAATAATATTTGTAAAATACCTAGAAAAGCATTTGATACGCAGGCAGTCTGTAAGTAAATATTCACATTACTTTTAAAGTACTCGTGTACATATGAAAAAGATCACATTATTTCTCCAACAAAGTTTATTTTTGAAGCATGCATAGTTTTTTTTTATTTTTTTATTATTATTTTTTTCAACGTTTATTTATTTTTGGGACAGAGAGAGACAGAGCATGAATGGGGGAGGGTCAGAGAGAGAGGGAGACACAGAATCGGAAACAGGCTCCAGGCTCTGAGCCATCAGCCCAGAGCCCGACGCGGGGCTCGAACTCATAGACCGCGAGATCGTGACCTGGCTGAAGTCGGACGCTTAACCGACTGCGCCACCCAGGCGCCCCGAAGCATGCATAGTTTTAATTAGCCCTTGTGGAAATTTACTTCATTCAAACCCCATTTGGTATGGAAACAATTTTCTGTAGAAAATACTTCTTTTTTACCTTAGTTGCTTCATTGAGGATTTGGAACTTGGTGCTGTCTTTGCCTTTTGTGGCGGAGTCTAGTAATGCCTGATAGGTGGACTTTGTGGAGAGCTGCTGTTTCTGACGCCTACAGATACAGAGTATACAAATGCCTGAGAATTATTTGTGACTGTCAGCATTCAGCAAACTATATTACCACGTGGAAGTCATTAAAATTCACTATGATGATAAATGTATCGGGCCCAGACAGTATTAGTACTCTAATAAAGCACTAACAGAACACTTTGTTATTAGAGTGCAAATAAAATACTAATGAAATTGTTCAACATAACACTGCTCTAGGATGGCATTTTGTCCCCTTTATTGAAAAGGTGGGGCAGTTTTCATAGATGATATTTATTAGCTTGTTAAGTCCCCTTCCACTTTCCATGAAATGTATACTTTAAGAGAAACTCAATAAATTCTAGTAGAAATCTGGTATAATCTAGTGATTTAACAAAATGACCAAGAGTTCCCTATAGAATTCCCTCTAAGGCACCTATTCAGAATTTAAGTGATCTGATGTTCTTCCTTTAGGGCAGTCTGGATAAATTAGAAAGTTGTAACATAGGATACAATTTTTGTAAAAGTAAAATGACCAAAAATTGTAGTGAGATACTCAACAAAAATATTTTAAAGAAATATTTTTTCAGGCTCTGGGGAAATAGATCATCTTATACAGTGGTGATGAGAGTACAAAACAGTACAAACCCTATGAGGGGTATCTGGTAATAGTTAAAATTTTAAGTGCATTTATTCTTTGACCCAGTCATCCCATTCCTGGAAATTAATCCTATAAATACTTATGCATGTATAAGAAATGACATATATATAGTTTTTCATTGTGGAAGTCATTTTATGCTGAAAGATTAAAAACAACTCAAGGATCTAGCAATAGGAAGAAGACAATATATTATAGTACGGCTACCCAATGGAATACTATACAGCTATAAAAAGGGAGAACAATCTCTACATACTCAGGATAAACTATTTAGCATAAAAAAAAGAAGTGCATAACAGCATATATAGGAAGCTACTTGGTATAAGAAGGGCAGTGATATAGGAATAACTGTATTTATGAAAAGAAATAACGGGAGGATAAATAAGAAATTGACAAATCTGGTTATTCAGAGGGACAAGATGTGGAATAGGGTGGCAGGGGACAACCATGGGGGTAACACTCTTCAAAGAATATCTTTTTATATTATTTGACTTTTGAAATATGTAAAAGTACTATCTATTCAAAGCCATAAACACTTTTAAAATATAAATTTATTAAGAAATTTAAATAACATAGTAGTGAGTGTATAAAGGTGAAGGTCTCCTGTCCAATGAATTTCTTAATGACTGTATTTCCTAACTGACTCTTTCCTTAGGAAGCCTATAAACATTACAATATTGCAATGTTTTGATCTAGGTAATATTATTTCCTCTCCTTACCTGTAGAAAGCAATCTTGCTGCAGTCTTTGAAAATGTTTTTATCCACAGCTTCATCTTCAACACTAAATAAAAAGACATTTTAAGAAACTTACTTTCCACAAGGTTTGTGAATCCAGTTTTTGTTCCTTCTGTAACTATAGCATGAACGTGGGTAATGAACTTTTACAATGCAAAATTGTGTCATGGCCATAACCTAACATGATAGTATGTGTGCTGCAGAATAACATCCTTTTGTAAATCACTCAAGGTAAACAACAAAATATCAAGTTCTGGGATTACTCTGAAAGCACTGGAAGAAGAGTATTGTCACTTATGAGGAAGGGTTCTTTTAAAATAATGACTGAAGGCTATGACTACAACAATAAAATAGGAAGGAGCAAAAGCACACAAAAAAAACAACCCACACAAACAAAAATAATCCACTCATTTTTTCAACAAAATATTTGCAGAATATTGTTACTGAGTGCTGGGTTCTGAGGAAGATATGGAGGACTGTGTCAGAGCTTCCTGCAAGAGCCTAACAAACAAGCATGAATCAACCTGACAAATGCTTTATTAGAGGTATGTGCAAGGGGCTAGAGTAAAAACAGAAACAGATGTAGGAAGAAAATCTGTTACTTTCTAAGATAATGTTGACAATCTAAGAGCCAATTTTTAACAAACCAAGTTCGGAGAAGAGCTGTTTCTAGAATAGAACATGAACAAGATGCATATATATTGCTACTTGAGTATATGTATTTAAATTATCCTCCAGAGACACCTGGCTGGCTCATTCAGTGGAGCATGCAACTCTTGATCTTGGGGTTGTGAGTTCGAGTCCCATGTGGGACATAGAGATTACTTAAAACTAAAATCTTGGGGCCGCCCAGGTGGCTTAGTCAGTTGAGCATCCAACTTCGGCCCAGGTCATGATCTTGCTGTTACCAAGTTTGAGCCCCACGTTGGGCTCTGTGCTGACAGCTCAGAGCCTGTAGCCTGCTTCTGGTTCTGTGTCTCCCTTTCTCTTTGCCCCTCCCCCGCTCATGCTCTATCTTTGTGTCTGTCTCTCTCTCAAAAAAAAAAAAAAAAAAAGTCTTAAAAAAATAAATTAGCCTCCGTATGATTAAAACAACTCTAGGCTATAAAACGGAAAAAAAACCACACTTGCCTTCAAGCAGACATATTGCTGAATACGGCTGTAATCAGCATGTCTATGATTATGTAGGAAACTATGATTGAACACAAATTTCAAGATATTATGAAAACAAGGCCACACAGATACACTTGGCTGTACTAAAAAGTTGTTTTCTTGGAAGTAATCAAATCTTTCACTAACATAGTCTGTGTCACTGTTTCCTTTAATCAAGCGTGCAAAGATTAGAGAAATTTGCAATCCTTGCTTTTCAGCTTTGAAGAATGAACTCTGTAATAATATAGGAAGATGGGGGTGTAGCCTGAAATTCATGTTAGGGTTCTGATCACAATTCTTCCACTGTTCTGTAAACCATCCTGAAAATATTTTGTGAGGGACTAGCTATTAATATCAACTAATTCCCTGGGGAATTGAGACAATTGGTAAAGATTAAATACACAAATATCCAACATGCAAATAAGAGGCCATTCAAACAATCAATAAAACCTTCAAACCTAATGTTGCTTTCAGGTACTTTCGGGTACTATCTATTCCCTACTGTCTGAAGTCAGTCCCTGCAGGACCAGGGAGCCTTTACCTGATTTCCTCTTTCCCAGCAGCTTCCATGGCTTCCCAGCCCGTCGGACCGGCTCTCAGCTCTTAGGCCAACGCCAAGCGGTGTTTTTAAAACACTGAAGGGCAGTCTTTCGAAATTACAACCAGCACTTCACCACCATCAAGCTCTTGGGAAATGGAGTCCTCCCCAGGTCCTTAAGAAGTGGCAAAACTACACGTACTCCTGGGGTTTCCAGGCCCAAACTAGCGTTTCTACGGAGATTTGACAAAATTTTCTTGTTTATGAGCGCCAACAAGAAGTGCTTTTATTAGGAACCGCAACTGTCTTTGTAGCGGAGGGGGCGTGTACTCAAAGAGCTCTAGAGGATAAAAATCTAGAGCGTGAGAACCAGGTAGTACAGAGACTGCTTGCCCGGCCCAGGTCAAACGTCTGCAGATTTATTTCAGTGACCCTCACTCCACAGATACTGAAAACTGGCCCACTCTTTCCGTTTTTAGTTTTAAGTTGAAAGTGCCGGACTGCTCTGTACTGAAGGTGGATGTTCTCCAGACAAATTCTACTGCACCATCATGCTTTTCAGGGATACAACAATTTTTTTTTTTTAAGGGCTTATCTAGTACAGTAGATACAGCTTAGGAAGTGCTTATACTACACCACTGCCAAATTCCAGTCCTTGCTTAAAAACCTCCAGAAACCAAGAACTCACTACTCCCTGCCAAGGAGGCAGTCAGACTTACAGCTTTCCCAGACTTCTGGACCCCGCGTCTCACTTAGAAGGTATGAGAGGCGGGGGCGAACGAGAGGAGAGAGCCAAACGCTACACGAGGTGCTTGATTAAAATCCCCAGCCCCTTTAAGGGGCGGGAGAGAGGAGAAAAGCAGACCTACGCGGAGGTGGCTTTTGATTAACATCCTAACACTCCAAGGTGACCAGATTACGACGGGACGACGCCTGCGCTTTCCACTCTAAACCTCACACGAGACCGTGACGACTGGTTTAGGGAGGGGCTGCTGGGCGGAAAAACAAACAAGCCCCGCTAGGTTTCGAGGACCCGGATGATCCCGCCCCCAGAGCAGAGCCGGAAGAGGGCGGGGCGAACCGGAAGACGGTGAAATGCTTTCTGTAGGCGCTCCATGGCTGTGAAGATGGCGGCGGCTGCGTGGCTTCAGGTGCTGCCTGTCATTCTTCTTCTTTTGGGGGCTCAGCCGTCCCCATTGTCGCTCCTTGGTGTAGGACCGGCACCTGTCGCTGCTGCTGACCGATCCAAGTGGCACATTCCGATACCGTCGGTGAGTGTTCACTTCAGAAGCAACTGAGCCTGGACGAGCAAGGGGTGGGGCTACGGCGGCCCTAGGGGTCCATGAAGGTTCCGCAAAAGTCCGCTTCAAAAGGGGTGGAATTGCCTGGAGCATCTGTGTCGCTGGATAGCAAGGATCCACTACCCTGGAGCGGAAAGCCGTGCACTTCTGTGGGTAGGTTAGCAGGAGTGCCAGAGCCGCTTCAGGAGCGGAGAAGAATGGTGGAATGGTTTCTTATCAGCTAAGTCAGAGAGAACTTTCAGTGCCTTACGTGAGACGTGTAAAGTTGATGGATGATAGGTGGAGAACGGTTTCCCTTTCAGCTGAAGTTTCACAGAATCCAGTGACCCCAGGTTGGATGAGAAAGATCTGTTTATAGGTGTCTTTATCACTTTTTCCCTTTGCACTTTTTGTTACTGGATGATTGTACTTACGAAGTTGTTTGATTTCCTTTGCACTTTCGAATGGTTGTTCTAAGCCTTGTGTGATGAGGAAGCCTAGGCATTTAAAAAATATATTCTAAAATGAGAATGGCTGAAGTGGTAGAAATTGTGTTCTAAAATTTGACATGGTAAAGGTAGGCTGTCTTTTGGACAACTTACTAGATAGGTTGACCCTTTCTGTCCCCCACCTCACTCCTTTACACCTCATTGGAAGTAAGAGTTTTTATAGTCCTGTGAGCTCACAAAAATCGGATGCACGCAGGAAATGCCGAAAAGCAATAGTCCTATTGAAACCACGGTGGCCTTTTTGTTTGATTCTGCTTTGCTCACTGGTTGTAATGTCCAAATCTTATTTGTGCTTTTATATGGCAAGCATTATAGCTTTTGTTCGTTTGGTGAAGATCTTCGGGTTCTGAATTTTAGCTATTGTTACTAAAATGGTTAATAGTTAAATCTGTTCGTAGAATAGTTTATTTAAGGAAATGATTGGTTATTCTGAACAGTGATTAGTGAGTAAAGCGAATGAACTAATTAAGGAGTACCTCCCATGAAAATTTAAGTTGGGATTTGTAGCAGTTTCTTTTCTAGAGTCCTTGCTTCATGGCCTGTGGGGGAAAAATCATGTCTCTGCACCAAGCTACAAAATTCTGCAGTTTGGATACGGTTGAATTTTACTAAAAGGAAGGATATCGATTTTGTTGTTGTTTAGAAAACTAACTTAAACATTTTATAAATTTAGGTTTTTTTAACAGTTACATTCTGCCTTGGGAATTAAAGTGATCTATGCTAATTATCTTTCTCTCCTTTATCTTTGCAGGGGAAAAATTATTTTAGTTTTGGAAAGATCCTGTTCAAAAATACCACTATCTTCCTGAAATGTGAGTTTTTGCATTTCATGAAGTTTTTATTTGAGTGATCTTTATACTTTTAAATTACCTATTTTCTATCTCTGATCTTCTCTAAACATAAGTTTTGAAATTTAATAGTCTGGCATTTTCTAGGCATAAACACGTAGTATAAGTAAGGTCTTTTCCCTGAGTAATCTTCAGAATACTTGTGTGAACTTTATTTTCTTCTCTTGTTTTTCTGGTGTTTACATTTTACAGTTAGACAAATTATGTCTGATGGTATTTTAATCTGCCCTCTGTTAGATACCACCAATTTTGCTTTTGTGTGCTTGTTAGGTATTTACTGAACAAATGACTTAGGTGTCAGACCTTTGGCTCTGCACGAATATGTTCAGTGATCCTTTGTTTACAGAAGGAGTATTTTGCTATTTAGGTCTTTGGAAGAGGAAGCTCAAAGATATTATCAGGAAGTAGGGATTACAAGGAATTAAACCAGTCTGTCCAGTGAGAAAACCACTGTATCTGAATCCAAAATTTCCCATTGCACATTAAAGAAAAGCTTCCTTTTATTTTTGAAAATGGTTTTATTTTAGGGAATAAATGATCATGGATAGCTCTATTTCAAGATCAGGAATAAAAGTTCAGCTCGGTTCCCCGGGTGGCTTAGTCAGTTGAGCATCTGACTTTGGCTCAGGTCATGATCTCACGGCTCGTGGGTTTGAGCCCCGCGTTGGGCTCTGTGCTGACAGCTCAGAGCCTGGAGTCTGCTTCAGATTCTCTGTCTCCTTCTCTGTCCCTCCCTCTGCTCTGTCTCTCTTTCAAAAATAAATAAATTAAAGAACATTATTTAAAAAAAGTTCAGGTCACCCATATGTGCTTCTATGCACATCTTTCTTTATGAAAGTGCAAAGTTATAAGTTTTAATTGGATGATTTTATTGTTTTAATCATCTAGTGTGTACTTATTAAAAACCTATTATGTGAAGCACTGTTTTAGACAGTAGGAAAATGATAGAAAAGGCCCTCTCTCTTACTGAGCTTACAGTTTAGTGGGAGTGAAGGGGACCTATAGAATTTCTATGAAGAGAAGACTATATCCATGAAAATACAATCTCTTGACTAATGACTTCAGTTTGGTTTAAATTACATTACTCTGACAAACTGGTCAGTCTTAAGAGGTTGGTGTGCTAGATACGAGTAACTCAGGGAGAACAGTGTTTTTGGTCTTTTGAGATAGCTTGACAACTTGCATGCTGTTCTACCTTTTTATTATGTGTAGTCTTTTCTTACCTGTATTTTGATCAAATGGTGCTTTGCCAAGTTGCACAAGCTGCATATTTTGTAGTGTCTGCATTTCATATTTTTGGAGAATTTGAAGCCCCTGAAAATCACATTATCTCTCACTTTGTTACTTCTCTGCTTTCTCACATATGCCTTGACTCTGATTTTATACTTTTGGGCGTATGGTAAATAGCTTTCCATGAAATTGCTAGGACCATTTTTGTCTCTTAAATCTAACCATTCAAAGTTCTGAATGGTGTTTTTTAACATAATAGGATTTTTGCAGCCAAGTTTTCCTGCAGATCTTCTTTCAGGGGATTTCCTTATTAGCTTCTGTTTAATCTCTCCTTGGTATGGTTCTTCTGAGTAGTTTATATTGAGATTGCAATATCCTTTTTATCATTTCTGTAAATTCTGTTCAGCACATCAGAGTTTTGTGTATTTTTAAAAATTTTTTTTAATGTTTATTTCTTGTTTATTTATTTATTTTGAGAGAAAGAGCGCTCATGCACACACATATTGGCAAGTCAGGGAGGGGCAGAGAGAGAAGGAGACAGAATCCCAAGCAGGCTCTGCACTGTCAGCACAGAGCCCGACATGGGGCTTGAACCCATGAACCAAGATATCGGTGACCTGAGCTGAAATCAAGAGTCAGATGATTAACCAACTGTGCCACCTAGGCATTACAGAGTTTTGTGTATTTTAATTGAACCTTGTAAAAAAAGTGTGTCACTTGAAAATTAATTTGAGAAAATAAAACAAATATTAGGTGCCCGTCTTACGTTAATCAAAATTAGATTCCTAGATGCCGTCATGTTTATCTTTGTCATATGTGCATAAAGCAGGTATCTTAGAGTTCCATAGTGCAGCTGCAATCAAAAATCAGGTGGGACAGCTGATCAGTCATATAGTCAGATTTATACTCTCAAATCTTCAGACTAATGCATTGGTCCACTAGAATATTGTGTTCCAAACTACGTTTAATGGGTTACTCAGCCACTATGATTTCGTGAAGTTCCTTGAGGCTTCTCTTAAGGTGGGTTTTGGAAAGAGTCTAATGCTCTTACGGTGTTGCTTTTGCTCTTCTGCCTTCCCCAGCCAGGTTTGCTTTTTGTTTGTAGTTCTTTGTCTTGTAGTCTAGTTTGGTATCTTTCAAAGTCTAAGCCATTAATTTTTCCCTCAGTAAAGCTTTGAGTACTGCTTTGTGATGTCCCTAATGTTATTCCTTGTCTTTCCAGCTAGAATGTAGCCTTTTAAGGGTCCTAGTCTCTTCTGGCTTACTGTCAGTTAGCTTTGTATACTTAAGTGCTCTGCTCAGTAAATATTTGAATGATAATAGAAGAGTGGTTTTAACTTGGGACTGCTTTGTCACTTCCAGGTTTTTCCCAGCAGAGAACCAGAAACTGAGGTTTTTGTTTTTTTTTAAAAATTTTTTTTTCAACGTTTTTATTTATTTTTGGGACAGAGAGAGACAGAGCATGAACGGGGGAGGGGCAGAGAGAGAGGGAGACACAGAATCGGAAACAGGCTCCAGGCTCCGAGCCATCAGCCCAGAGCCCGACGCGGGGCTCGAACTCACGGACCGCGAGATCGTGACCTGGCTGAAGTCGGACGCTTAACCGACTGCGCCACCCAGGCGCCCCCAGAAACTGAGGTTTTAAGGCATAAAAAAGTAGATAAACTTAAGCAGGTCAAAAACTGTTCTTTTGTGAATAACAGTACTTACTTTTATCTGAAGAATATCCAGTTATTTTACATAAATTATTTCATTACCTCAAGTTTGGAGAAGGGATGGTCTTTGAGTATCTAAATTTAGCAGGAAAAAATAAGATGTGTGGTAACAGTTTAGGAAAAATGCTTTGTTTGGGACTCATCTTTATTCACAAAGTTTTCTTCTTTTATAGTTGATGGAGAACCTTGTGAGGTATCTTTGAATATAACCTGGTATCTGAAAAGTGCTGATTGTTACAATGAAATCTACAACTTCAAGGTAAGGAATATAAGATTAACAAACTTTTTCTTGGACTTTAGATATCATCAGGTCCTAACCTGATAGAGGGAGGAGTGTCACATAGCTAGGAGGAGGTAGGAGACAAGCTGAAGTTAGAATCTGTGCTTCGCAATTTATAGACTTACTGTACTAGCAATTCACAAACTTTTTGGTCTCAATCCTTAAAAATTACTGCAGAATCTTGCTTACTTTGGCAGCACTGTAGAAGTGCTGACAGTGCTGACTCTATCTTTGGCCCTCCATCTTGTTCATGTGTGTTCGATTACCTCTCTTGAGGGGCTACGTGTTCCAGACCCCTTGGAGATGAATATACATACCTTAAAAATGTCCACCAAGGCTGGGACAGGGGGAGCCTTGTTTTGGCCTTCCATTAATCTGTTAGAGATAACATAATCTTTCCCCCTCCTGATGCGCAGTTGGTGCCACAAGATCTAATTAATGCTTAGCTTTTAATTAGATGCATGCAAGCCCTTTGGAGGTACATGGGAGCCCTTTGATCTCACTACAGTGTCCTTTTGTGTGACCCCTCACTGTGTAAAATCTGTGGACTAAGGTCTGGACTTTGTGGAGAATAACTGCAGCTGCCGTGAATCATATTCTGCCCATTTCCCTCCCCCTGTCAGTAAGTTACCCCGAATAAAACTCTGCATAAACTGTAGAGAGTCGCCTGCTTTGTTTTTTGGTCTTCAAATACTTTCTCAATTTGGGGGGTACTTTACTCTCCCTCCCCCACCTTCTAACAAGCACATATACTAAAACTGGAACAACACAGAGAACATTAGCACGGCCCCTGCACAAGGATGACACGCAAATTCGTGAAGTGTTGAATATTTAAAAAAACCATTACTGCAGTCTCCAAAAAGCCTTTGTTCATGTGGGTTACCGTATTAGAAATTAAAACACAAAATACAAAAAATGTTTGTTAATTTATTTTAAAATAGCAATAATAAACCATTGCATGTTAACATGAAAAACGTTTTTTTATGTTAAAAATAAAACAATAAATAAAAATGTCTTTTTCAGAAACGAAGAAGAGTGGTATTACTTTGTATTTTTGCAGCACCTTTCATTTAATGTTGGATAATTGAAGACAGCTGGATTCTTATATCTTCTTCAGTTTATTGTGCTATATTATTTTGGTTGAAATGTGGCCTCACACAGATACATAGTTGGAAAAGAGAATGATATCTTAATAGTGTTTTCAGATAATTGTAGATACTGTTTTTTGATCCTGTACCAAAACATAACAAGTAGAGAGAGTTTCTTAAAGGTTGGTGGCAATGTGGAATCTGAAACCATATCAGTGGGTTCTTTTTCTACTAAGTGAGTTGGTGTGTCATGCACTGTGGTCTTTTATCCATGTCTGATTTTGTAACAGGGTTTATTTAGAAAATACTTGTTGACTGATTTTTATCATTCTTTCAAATACTACCTCATTTTACAATTAACTTGAAGTTATATTTGTTAGTATCACCCTCTGTCACATCAGAAACTCCTTAAGTACTGGAGGCTGTTGAGCTCATGGTGAGGAAGATACAAGTTTTCCGAAGTCCAGTTTTGCTTGGAAGTTCAAATTTTGTCATTGGCAATAATACTGTCAGGTGTTGTCCTTGAAGTGACAGCCTTCCTTTGCCCATTTTCAAGAAAATATTTCCCAAATAACCAAGTGTGAATAACTAGTTTGTCAGTTATTCTTTTAGGTAAATGAAAAAAGTGGATAGCTTAGGTTGTAAGTCAAGATAGTTGTAAAGTGTTTTATCTCAAGACAGTCATTGATAGTATTTTGCATGTTTTCCGTTTTGTCTCATAGAATATTTAAAAAGGCATGTGCTCACAGTCCAGATTTAATAATATTAATAATTTTTGCTGCTTTAGTGAAGCATTCTTATGTAAAACTGGTATTTAAAATTATTTTTTAAGCTGTAAGTTTGTGACTGACTACAATGACGACTGGTATAATTAGGTGCCACTGCCTTGGTTCCTGATAAGGGGCAGCCATTTTATCCATCATTACTTTGCATTATCAGTACAAGGCAAATAACATCATCATTTTATTAGTAGTAGTATGGAAATAGTTTTAGACCTCATTTCACAATTGACATAGTACACTGTACTTGGGCACTGAAGATATATGGCTCCAGGGTGGATTTTTCAGGCCTTTTTCATTCCGTTTCTGTTCTCCATTTGTTATTCTCTTCCTTTCTGAAGATAATCTAACTGGTCTTTTAAAAAATGTCTGCCATTCACTTGGTTTTTCAAACCTTAAGCATTTTGAATTTCTGCCTTGTGTTAGGGTTTTACATTATCTTTTTTGTGGTGTTGATTTGTTTTTTGCTCGTTATACAATGTTGGGTATGACTGATAATGATGAGGACTAAAAGGATGGAAGAACTTAGAAATGATAATATGTCCAGAATGTAGTTTGAAGCATTATTGATGTTTCTCTTAATCAATCACTAGTTGAATTTACAGTTAAAAACTTCATACATTTGAAACTTGCGATAAGCTGGTCAAGAGCTTAGCAGATCCCCGGATAGGTAATACAAGTTAAGAATGTCAAAATTATCGGGGCGCCTGGGTGGCGCAGTCGGTTAAGCGCCCGACTTCAGCCAGGTCACGATCTCGCGGTCCGTGAGTTCGAGCCCCGCGTCAGGCTCTGGGCTGATGGCTCAGAGCCTGGAGCCTGTTTCCGATTCTGTGTCTCCCTCTCTCTCTGCCCCTCCCCCGTTCATGCTCTGTCTCTCTCTGCCCCTCCCCCGTTCATGCTCTGTCTCTCTCAAACCCAAAAAAAAAAAAAAAAAAAAAAAAAAAATTAAAAAAAAAAAAAAAAGAATGTCAAAATTATCTTGGGTTGCCATAGGACAGAATTACAGAAATGACAAGCAGATAGTTGGAGATGCAAAACTGGAGCTTAGAAAAAAAGGGAGAATTCTGTACGTTAGAGTCCAATACCGTTAGATTCTTGCACATTATTACAGTGTTTATTTGATGTTGTAAGTTTTTAAAATAGCAAATCCAAAACTGTACCTGCCCTATAGGAAATCTATCTGTTATCTTCTAAATACTTTACTTGTGAAAAGTAAGTTGTGTGTGTTGTATTTTCTCTTGTTTTTCCAGGCAGAAGAAGTGGAGACATATTTGGAAAACCTTAAGGAAAAAAAAGGCTTGTCTGGGAAATACCAGACATCATCAAAATTGTTCCAGAACTGCAGTGAGCTCTTTAAAACACAGGTAATGTTTGATAGTGGTTGGAGGGAAATAGAAGAGATAAACTACATACTACCTCTATATTTGGTGATCTCCATTTCCCACTTCTGAATTCTTTGTTCTGACAGAAATAAGTTAGAAGCATGTTCTGTTAATTGCACATTCAGCCACTTAATATTTATCTCATCAAAAAGAGGATGTGCTTTCCTTTGTGTGTAAAAAGCAAATCCCCATTTTTTATTATGGTAAAATATAAGTAAAATTTACCATTTTACCTATTTTCAAGTGTGCCGTTCAAGGGTATGAAGTACATTTGCACTGTTGTGCAATGCAAGTTCTGCACTTGATCTTAGCCAAAAGGCCGAGAAGCGATGCAATGCAAGTTCTGGAGATGGCTAGTGGTATACTAGTCATCTCTAGAACTTTCTCATCATCCCAAACTGATACATCATAATCATTAAACAATAACACCCCCTCCCCTCACATCGCTGGTAACAACTACTCTGCTTTTCCTCCATGAGTCTCACTATTCTAGATACTTCACAGAAGTGGAATCATACAATATTTGTCTTCTTTCCCTTAGCAGGATGTTTTCAAACTTCCTCCATATAGCGTGTATCCACTTAATTCCTTTTTAAGGCTGAATAATAGTTCATTGTACATGTATACCACATTTTCTTTATCCATTCATCCACTGGTAGACATTTGAAACTTCCAGTTTTTCAGTTCTTTTGAGATCTCATTTAATTGATACATTCCCAGAAATACCAGTTTTCTAGATTTTATTGTTACAGGCCTGAACTCAACCTTGTTTTGAGTAAAGGGGAAGAGGTGAATAATATGTATTTTTAATGCTTACATATATGTAATCATGTAAGCGGAATTGTGATTCTAAAATCTTTTCTTAGAAATAGAATATGATGTCAGTTTTTTGATAGAAAAATTACATGTTTTATAGGTGTTGGAAATAGTTATTATTAACTGTAGCCTTTTCTTTGTTCTTATTGCATTTGAATACTGCTTCAGAATATTTAGCAAATTGCCTTGAAGAGGCAAAGCATTCACGGAACGCTAAGTTTTCTGTCCACTTATTAGAAATAAAGTTTGTTGATGAGACTTTAATTACTAGTAATTGATAAGCAAATAAAATAAAATTGATAATTGAACTATAACAGTTGATAATTGAGTTCTTGTCATAGCTTAGATTTTATGGATTTGGAGGAGAAAGAAGATATCTTTAAAATGATAGAATAAGAAAGCTGGAAAAAATGTGATGTTAGTTAGGGGGCTTTCATTTAGTTTTTATAAGTTTATCCCCTAGCTTGGGAGGATTGGTTGGCCTTTCTTAGATTTGATCATGGAAAGCTACCTGCTGTATACTGTTGCCCTAGGTTCACTGCTTTTAGATCTGCTATAATCTTTCCAGGGTCTTAGCATATTATCCCTATTGGTAAGGTTATCTCTCCTTCTTCAGTCAAATGTAACAGAGTTGGAATACATGCTCTAATTACTCAGGAAAGGGAATGCTTCATCTGCTGATACCTGGTAAGAAAACATTAGTGTGGTTTTGTATAGGCATGGAGAGTGTTGTGGTGGAAGGAGCAGTAGACCCAAGAGTTAGAAATCCTAAGTTGAGGGGCACCTGGGTGACTTAGTTAAGCGTCTGACTTCAGCTCAGGTCATGATCTCAGGGTTTGTGGGTTCAAGCCCCGCATTAGGCTCAGTGCTGACAGCTCAGGGCCTGGACCCTGCTTCAGATTCTGCCTCCCTCTCACTCTGCCCCTCCTCCACTCACACACTGTCTCTCACTCTCTCTCAAAAATAAAAATAAACATTAAAAAAAAATTCTAAGTTGAAATTCCATTTCTGTATCTAAAGCTTGATAGCTTTGAGCCATATTTTTCTCATATGAGGCAAGAGAGGGAACCATAAGATCTCTCTATCCTAAGCATATGTCTTCTGTTTTAAGGTTTTTTTTATTCATAAATATTTTTAATTCTTAACTGAGAAATTGAGTGGCCCGTTTAGTTTGATAGTAGTTTTTAGTTCTCACTTGTTTGTGGTTAATTGGAAATCTTCTGTCTGTCAATGCCATATTATTTAGTGTTACAGTGTATTTTGCTTCAACCATGTTTTTGTAGGTTTTGAACTTTTTTTTTTTTTTTTTTTTACTATTAAACATTAATTTTAATGTTATGTTTTTTTCATAGAGCTTTTCTGGGGATTTTGTACATCGATTGCCTCTCTTAGGAGAAAAACAAGAGGTAATTGTTTTCATTGTTATGTATTTCTAAGCATAAAGTAAAAATTCTAAATTAACTTTCTTTTTTTAATGTTTAGGCTAAGGAGAATGGAACAAACCTTACTCTTACTGGAGACAAAACTGTAAGTGTAGTAGGAAATTTGGGGCATTGACACATATTTCAGTTTTCTTATATTTGTGTTGAATTATCTTGGTATCCTACTATTTAATGTTTATTTATTTCTGAGAGAGACAGAGCATGAGTGGGGGAGGGGCAGAGAGAGAGGGAGACGCAGAATCCAAAGCAGGCTCCAGGCTTTGAGCTGTCTGCACAGAGCCCGGCGTGGAGCTCGAACTTACAGACCGTGAGATCATGACCTGAGCCC